ATACGATTTTACCCAACTCAGGCAACCTGAATTTGTTATTTTATTTACCTCAACATGACTTTCCAGATGGCACTTGGGTAATGGAAAGACATGTAAAAAAATTTTCTATGGTAGCTGTCTATATATATGTCTTTGTTTCCCAGAAGGCAAATCTTAGCGTAGCATTTGATTCAATGTCTTATCTTTTTGACTACTCATCATGGCTTTTGTTTTTATTCATGGCTACATCCTTGTTTTATTCTTCCTGTATGTAGAATTGGTTTTCATGACCACAACTTTCTTGGGTAAGTATATAGGCTAGATATAGCTTTATCTAATTTCCACTTGTTCAATAAATCTAAAAGGAAATTATTAGGAAAGAAGTGAAATCAGTACAAATTTTTTTACTTTGTTTCTTTCAATTTGCTTTGTTTGAACAGTTAATAATCTGCTGTACTTCAGCAGTTACTGTGTCAGCAATCTTCCCTTTAACTAAAGTGGGAATTTCTGAGAGCAGCAGGACAAACAGTTGAAATGGAAACTGCCATCTTCTCCCATTATAAACTCACTTTATTTATGAATTGTTTCTATACTGTCAGTCTCTTGACTTTGCATTTCCATCAAATTACAGTCTAGAGGCTTCTAAACATTTTATCTTGTAAGTTTGAGGTACCATTAGCACTCTATTTTCATGACATCCTGCGTGATATTAAAACAATCCCCCCACTTTTAGTTTTTAAAGATAACTATCACCATCAGTCCTCAAAACCAGTACAGGTAAGAGTACATCCAAAGTAAAACGTATTTAGAAACATATTTAGAAAAAACCCAAACAACTACACTTCTTGCTGGAAGATATTGTCCAGTGAGGATGAGAATTTCCCTCCTTTGCCACATGTGATACTCAAATAGAAAAAGTATCAGTCTACCAAGGCATTATTTAAAGCTGCATGCCACTTCCCAGGGTTCCTTCTCCAAAATTTATTGTGCTTACCAGAAGTCAATATTTTGAAGACAAAATCATATTCTGAAAAAATGTCTTCACTACCAAAAAATTTCTTTATTTTATTTTATTTTATTTTATTTTATTTTATTTTATTTTGTGGAATACTGTTTGCTATTGTAATACTGAGGAAAAAATACTTCATTTGCAATTTAAAATAGTTTTTTCCTGCTATAATAATAAACTCATTTTAAAAGTGAAAAGAAGCAAAAAATAGAGACCCACAAAACTTCTAGCTTTTCTAAGAAGACTAAGCAAAATTTTCCCTCCTCTGAATTAATTATTACCCTGTAAAATCAATTATTTTTCTTAAACATAGAGGGAAAATAATCTTTGCTTTTATCAAATAAAGGAAACAAACAAAATAAGTTTCTATTTTTTGGGCCAAATCAGCATGTAGATATACAATTAAAAAAAACAATCAAAATTAATTATCTATGTATAATGACTCCTTGTAATTCTAATCTCCAGAGCTCAGTTAGCTAGATGGTATGTATTCAATTAATTTTAAAACTGTTTAATGAAGATATATTTCTAAATTTTAACACGACTGTTTAATTACAGACCAGTGAATGTAATTACTTTTTTTGTGCTAAAGGATAGAACCTTCTCATGATTCAAACATTAATAAGATCACTCGTATTATACTCTTAACTACTAGTCAGTGTAACTGCTCTGAAATTTGGTATATTACACTGAAAATATTTGTATAAAATAAAAGGAAAGTCAAGCATTGTATTATGTCTTTTTCCAACATAAACTATTCCATTCCATTCTATTTTTAGCAAGGCCTGCAGCAGTAGGACCAGGGATAATGGTTTTAAAGCAAAGAAGAGGAGATTCAGAGTAGATAGAAGGAAGACATTTTTTACAATGAACATAGTGAAATGCTGGAACAGGTTCCCCAGAGATGTGGTAGATTCAAGATGGGGTTCTGAGCAACCTGATTTAGTTGAAAATGTCCCTACTCATTCCAGGGGGTTTGAACTAGATGAATTTTGCAGGTCCCTTCCAGCCCAAACCATTTGCTGATTTGACAATGATCTGATATTTATTATAAGTGAGGTTTAGTACATTTTAAATGTGCATGTTTTGTATTATTCTTGTTCAGTTGGATGAGAATGAAAATTAAGTATTAACAGTCTGGTAAAATATTTTTTTTTCTCAGTGGTTCTATTTTTCAACACTAGTACAATCTTTGAAGCCTCACCATTGCATTTCAGTGTGTTACAAACACACTTTTCCCAGCTTGCTTGTTCTCATCTATATTCCTCTCCTATGTTGCCAGGGGTCTGTGGTCTACGTCGAAACAAAACCAAAATGAACACAAAAAAACACTGGACAAACAGTTGGGTAAAGCATACATATAATCAAGGGAACGATTTTGAAATCAGAGGATTGAAATTGCAAAAATTCTAGTCATCATTGCTCAAATGATCATGATTTTCATGTGCAATCACAGTAGCTGATTGCCAGCACCAGACGCTTGGCTGCATGACTGCAGAAGGGACCTCACTTAGGACCAAAGGAGTCACATTTTGTCAAATGAGAGTGGCCATAGAATTTCAGACTAAAACCCCATCTAGTCTGGCCACCAAAGAAAATACCCATGAAATAGTAAAACCAAGATAACCATGTTTGATGTGAACCCTAAGTAGCCTTCTGGTCAAGTAGGAGAAGCAAATGCAAGTGGCTTTCAAACTTAACTCAAAAATTTAAATACCAAGGAGGACCAGGATAACAATCAAGCTGTTTCATTAAAGTAGGAAGCTAACCATCACCCACAAAGCATCCTTTCTCTGCATTTATTCACAACAAACTCTCACTGAGAACATCCACGAGTACATCATTCAGTCACATTATCAAATACTGTGACCTCTCACTGATATTAGTGCAATCATTACGCACCAGTTAAGAGAAACTTTTCTCAGTAGTATGAACAGAAATTACAGTAATCTGATACACCAACTCTGTTACTCACTCCAATATATACTAGAACTTTATCTAGACTTGTATCCACTGTTCCCTTTTCCACCTGGTCTCCAGATATCTCTTCATAGAGGGATGTCAGAGCTCACCTTTCGCCCACTACTCACCTTCCATCCTTCTTAGTTACTTATTACTGAAAGAAAGCCAGGTTGATGTCCTAAATATTTACCTTGCATATTTAAGCTACATTAGTGCACATATGTGAAAATGAAAATTTCCCTAGGAAATGAACACTGGTATACTTCTACATTTTTTATTTTACGTACATTTTTATTCTTTTTTTTTTTTTCTTTTTCATGGTATTGACAAGCGGGATTTCAAAAAAATCATGCTGAAGTTTATCTCAGAAATGGTTAGCTCTCCTGTTGATATTATATGTATGAGTAATTATAAAACCGTGAATGGTATTGATATCAGACTGTTGATCTGGTTATCCTTTTTCTTCTCCATTTGCTACTGTCCAGTCACTTCCCTTGCTGGCAGAGTTTTCAGGAAGCCTCTGACTATTACAACACGCACTGCTTTTCAGGTATTCTTGAATAGAGATGACATATTTTCCCAGCACAAGCACATACGGCTCTTGGAGTTATGTTAACCCAGCAGTTAGGTCATTTTAATTTCTGTGCCTTTTCTCTGATTGCCTATGCATTGCATCAGAATCAAATATCATGTTTCTTACTGAATGCTGAGGGAAAGTACCTTATTTACTAGTTTAATTTACTATTTTTATTCCAACTGTCTTTTATTTCTGTGTGTAAAGAAGACTTACTAGTTTGGTTTCCTTTCTCTTGCAAGTCTGAACATCAGTTCAAATCTTATAATTCTCTTGTATGCTTAAAATCTCAATTACTCCTGCAGTGCTTTGTCCCTACAAGCAATTTTCTTTTTGATCAATGACTTAATCTACGAATTGTAAACTCCCTGTTCCAAATCCCTTTATTTTCTGCTGACTTTTCATTCTATTTCATCTGCAATATTTCTCTATTGTTTTTGTCCCTTTTCTCTCTTTATGGGTTCCAAGAAGTTTTGAAACAGTCACCTTAATGAAATTCCAAGCTTCTTGCAGAGACCATTCTCTGTTCTACAATAGAGGAGATTCTTTGGGAAATCTACAGGTAATTAACAGTGTTTTCTGAAAACCAAATCAAAGTACCCTGTATGAAAGTGCCTATATTTTCTGAGTAGGTTATTTATTACATTTCTTCAACGAGTAAACGATAAACTTGTCTTGAAAGACAAAGCAGGCTTATTAATGTGTATTTTCTAACAACTAGGAGACAAACCTTAATGTCTAGTCTTGACTAAGATAGATACTCTGATAAAACAGTGCGTTCTTTATTAATTTGGCAAACTCTTTGGTAAGATCCACTGAAGCATGTGAAAGACAAAAGCATGATAATGCATACCATTTCTTTCTTTGCACTTCAAAACTCTCCTGTAATTTCCCGATGGGAAACAGTGTGATAGTTTGTGTAAATGAATCCCTTCAGATAGCCTGAGACACCTTCTAATGACTTGTACTTTCTACATCAGAATTGCATACATTATTTCTTTTTCAGCATAGAGCACTTCCAGAAAAAAATGCAAAGATATGTTTAAAGCTATTTTTTGGAATAAGTGGAAAAACATTACTTTCTTTTTCCAAACACATGCCAAAAAGGTAAAGATGAGTGTATGGCATGCTGTAAAATATTCTCTGAGGTACAAAACATCCGCTGCATATAAGGCATAGAAGCATGTGTTGTTAAATGTTGATGTGAAACACGAGATACAGAAAACAAGGTGTCAGGCCAGCGGGTTGTCTCATGTAATGACATATGAAAGTTACAGAAAATTCTATCTGATAAATAATATTCTTCTCAAAATGTGGTTTAACTCACTAAATGTAAATAAAAATAGTGTAGACATAAAGACAATTTAAGAAATACACTTCTATTGAATATCATTTCAGTCTCTGGGGAACAAAACTTCTCTTTCAACAGCATTTTTATCCAACCTCAAACACAAGTCAATCACCAATGAAACTTACTGGCATAATGGAATGTCACCTTTGATGATACATCTTCCTCCATTTTTGCAGTATTCTTCAGGACAAACTGCAAACATAAAATTAAAGATTATAATTTCCCTCTGTTTTGTGTTTGTCATTGTCTAATTTTCAAAATGGTAGAATATTCACATCTGTCGTTTTGGTGCTTAACACTTCCAAAACTTCTTCTTTTAGACCCGGTCTCGGTGATATAAGTGTGAAATCATGAGTACATTATAAGCAATAGCGTGCTCTTGCTCTTATAGAAATCTTGATGCTTCACTTGAGCAGGCTTCAAATTTTTCTCAAGTCAGATCTTCATCTTACTCCAGAAATGGAGCTTTTACAACTGACTCTATTTTCAAATAATAAAAATATATAAAATAAGACCCAAATTATATTTTTGCAATAATATCATACATTGTGAACTTTATCACATAACTCTTAAAATTGTAAAAACAGAGTTAAATTCTAAAGCATCTTCAGCAAAGCTAGGGGAGTACTGTTAACATAGAACCAACCCAGTGTTTGTAACTGTCTTGGAAAAGAACTGCAGTAACTTTGTATCACTGAATGGGATGCTTTGAACCTAGATTTAATTATTTACATAATTATCTAGGTTTTTGTTAGATTTTATTAATAAAAATAAATTCAGATTGAATATGTATTATTGTCCTGTACTTATCTTTCTCCACCATTTAACTATTGCAAACCAAACCTGAATATTGTGGCAAGTTCATTGTGCTAAAACAAATGCTATTTGGTTTATCTTCCAACATGGATTTACAATACACTTGAAAAAAACCAAATAAACAAAACCCAAACAATCCTATTAACTCAAAAATATGGGTTAATAAGTGGGTTACTCAACTGGCTAAAATTAAGAGATTGCCTAATAGTATACTACAATCTGTTGTAAGGTTTTTGTTTTTTTTTTTAACGATGTGTTTATACCTTAAGAAACATCTCTTGTGAAGATGTTAAGCATATTATTTTTCATCTTTTTTTCCCTCTTTCATCTGTGTCATACTTTCATCAGGAAGACTCATACCTGATATAATTTGATAGAGTTTTAGAAGAGGAAACTTGGTCAAGTTTGAGGACTGCCTAAAGATTCAGTAGAAAATAGCTATACTTTCTTTATTTAAAATGATATTTTTAAGCAAAACTAAGTACCTGAACAGCTGGACTCATCAAGGCTGAAATCAATGCAGTCTGCAATTCCATCGCAACGTTGGGAGACTGCTATGCATTGATTAATTGACGCACACAACAAAGAACCATTGAAACAATCTTTAATGGCTGAAACAAAAAGTAACATTGTGGTTATTATCCGCTGTATTTCTTTTTCTCACTGTTAAAAAACTAGCAGAAGAAGCCTGATTCATACTGTAGGCTATAAACTTGCATCTGTGTGACCTCTACAAGCTTTCATCTTCAAAGGCATGTAACTTTACTATTGAGTTGCTAAATAAGTAAACAAATACAGAGCACAGACGGTAGAGAAACTGAATTTTCCCATATAATATTTGTGAAGAAGAGGAGGGCATATTAACTTAAAATGTTGAGACCGTATGCTGCAAAACCCCAAAGAAAACCCATAAAAAGATATCACAAAACATAGTCAACTTTCATTCATCAACCAGTTTTAAAATGATGGAATTAATTTTTTAACACATAGTATTTTAACACATTACAGAGGGAACAGTCATACAAATGGATCTAACTGCTAAAACCTTTGCAATTCAAGACAATGACATTAAGTTATCAGTGCTGAGGCAAAGAATGTTAAGAGCACATGGAGGCATTGAAAACAATGAAGACATGAAAGTGAAATTATTAGATTTTTGTCTATATTTAGTTTTGCAGGTCCAAATAAAACCTGTAGAAAGTCTGTTTGAAAGTGTATAATTTTTAATATTTCCTAGGTATTTAAAACCCACCAGGATCACAAGATTTTAGTTCACTACAGAAAACTCAGAAATCACTTTTTATTCATTGGTATTAGCACTCAATCAGATGGTGTTAGGATCTGTTAAAAAGTAATATATACATCCCATTGGTGCTAATATGTTTGTTTTAGATCAAATAGGTGAAATAATGTAACCTTTACTAAAATTGACAGCAAGAAAAGGGATGGCCCAGTAGAACATTTATAACTGGAAAAACAGTTACATGATTTTCTTGTTAAATGCAACTAATAATAAAATCCACTACATTAATTGATATAAAACAGTATTAGCACAATACTGTACAGTCTAACTGCTGTGTGAAGTCCACAGGAAATTCTGTCTGCATAAATCTCTAAGTCATGAAGAAAAGTATTTCTGTGGTACAAACTGTGGTTTTAGTATGGATCTGACTAATGCTTTTTGTTTGTTTGTTTTGCTTTGTCCTGGCTTTCTTTTGAGCTTTATGCCTAATCTCTGCAAGATGCATTTTGACAACTAGTCTTTATCCCAGAAGAAAATATTCCCTAGTGAATTCCTGAATTCAGAACCCAGAACATTTTTGACCACCTCTTGTTAAACTTAAATGAATGAAATTACTATGGGACACAAAATGGAAGGTGTCAGTAATTCAAAACATTGAAGTTTTCTAAAATCACCAAGTAGATTGGATCTGCATTAAGGAAAAAAAATTAATTTTCAGTCTAAAATCTAAAAATTAAAAAACACTCTCAATCTGTGCTATTATTACAGTACACATACCCTGGAGTTACTAGCAAAACAATAAATTTTTTAGATTATGTATAAATTTCAATAAAATAAATCAATTTTTTGAGATATTTACTTTTTCTCTCTGATCTTTTTCTGTTGACAAACTTCTATGGCTTTTCACATGTTTAAAGTAAAAAGCTAGAGATTAAATGCTGTGCTCTCATGGCATACACAGTTTGATCTGAGCACCAGCTGTGACAGTAATCAGCTTTCCACTGGTTCCATTCCAAACTAGCACTAACCACTTTCTTTTTGCTTTGCCTGCAACCAGTATCTTCTTCATAGAAGAAACACAAATCTTTGCTTCTATATTTCTATCTTGTAATGCCAATACTCACATGTTTCTATACTATGAACTGAATTTTGGATTACAGACTTGAATAAGTTTCCACCCCACTGAGAATCCCAAAGGTGTGCAACATCCATGGAGAATTTATGTTCTTGGACTAGACCAGGATTTAATTTCCACTCAATCTCTGGGCATTATTTAGAAGTCAAAGCAATAAAATAAATTAAACAAACCCAACAAACCACAAAACAAAGAAACAACCCCCCCTCAAACAAACAAATAAACCCCTCAAAATCCCCAACCCCCCAACATTTCAATTCTTTGGGGGATACTGATAATTATAGAAATCTTGTAGCTTTCAGATTTTGAGATTCTACATTAACTGCTCTAGTGTGGAGCTGGGATGTACATGTAGTAGGACGCAGCACAGAGGTCTAATAGAGGACAGATTGAAGAGGAAACAACTCAAAGGCAGATTAATGATGAGAGGGTTGTTTCAAGAAAGGGCTATATAAAATTTTTACATGCCTTCGGGTTATGTAGAATTTAAGATAAGAGATACCTCCAAAATCATGTCTTTTGCCAACAAGACCACAGAGCTCACTTCTAACCAAAGACATGCACAAATAGTCTGCCAAATCCATGCTAGTCTGATACACTAATTTGCTAAAATAAATAGCATGTGCAATGGCCTGCATTTATGTTCAATAGTTTTGATACAAAATCTAAAGAACTCAAATTTCTAGTCCTCTGCAAACTGATATTTACCTTTTTTTTTGTTCTGAAAAGTATCAAACATAATATTAGAAAAACTTTTACAACATGAAAAGTTTAGGAAGAAAAGTTTTGTATTCAAAAATCTTCTTTATTTTTTTTATATAGCTAATTATTTTGAAATTCCTAGAATGCATAGGCCTCAGTTCATATACCAATAATGAAATATTTTGAAATGGGCAGAGTTCAAAGCCTGTTGTCCTTGTGTTTTGTTTGTGAGCCTTTTTCCTTGCTTGGGGTAGAGATTGCTGCTGCTGCATGAACAGACTTGATTTAAAAATCCTTGAAAGGTCAGGACTGTCTTGAATGTTACTGAATTATAGAACCGCTAAAGTCTATCTGTCATATCGGAATCAGAGATTACAGAACCAATGCAAATGCAGCTGACTGATCTATGGAAAAAATGTAGAAATGCTTGCAATTATTAACAGAAACACAACAGAAATTTTTAAGCATTTACAGAAGTTGATAGGCAGGGAATAAGAACGCATAAGCGAAACTATTCAGAAATGTAAAGTGTCTCTTCAGTAAAGTGTCTCTGCAGCAATATATGTGATACGTAGTATTTTTTTTGATGAGGGAATGGTGAATTTTACATTATACTTCCTTATATTGCTCTTTTTCTTTCCTAAAACATCACTGGTTTAGGCAAGTTAGCATTGCCATAACTATAGCAATGAAAGTAACTTACGGCAGCCAATTTCGTCTTCGTTAAGGCGGCAGTCAGGCACACCATCGCATTTCAGGAGGGATGGGATACAGCCAGTGGAGGGACATAGGAACTCTGTTTCCTTGCAGGAGCCTGGAGTCACAGTGGTAGGCCTCTCCATGGGACAATTCATTTCATCACTTCCATCCATACAATCTTCAACCCCGTTACATCTTGCAGCGAGGGACAAACACTGCTGCACATACGCACATGTGAACTTGTCAGTGCTGCAAGTTGGAGGGTGTGGATCAGCTGATCCTACAGAAGAAAAAAGAGTATTTATTGATTCTTCTCTTTCAGAAGTCATTCATACTGCCTTTGAGATATACATAAGAGCTGCTAGGACTGCAGCTGATTTTGCTTATTAAACTTTTTTAAAAAGCCCAATCCAAGTTCTATAAAAACACAGCTCATAAGTGACGAACACAGTATTAAAAATATTTTGTCTCATATTAACTCCATTGCTGTTGCTGCAGCATTTTGTTTCTAAAGCCCATGTTCAGCATTTATTTTGATCCTATTATTCTTTTGGCATGTACACATAGAAAGGTTAATACTAAAGTACTAACAAATCTTGTCTTTCACCCTGTGTCTGGAAAGCATTAAAATAACCCTCATGTTACAATCTTCCTCTATTTGTATTCTGAATGGGTGAAGAAAAATCAAAGACTATGTAAGTCTTGATCAACAAGGAGCACAATCATGGAAAGCCATCATTAAGGGTAAGGTCTGAACCTTCAGCAGAGTAAGAAAAAGATTTTCATGAAGTAACAACAAAGATTTTTACTGATATAGTGTATCATCACTGGTTCTATAGCTTAGTTTGATGTGATAGAGAATTAAATCAAAGAAGATACTAGATGAAAGTAAGTTTCCAGCGTACAACTAAATTAAAAACATGTTCTTAAAATTTTTGTGCAGAGAAAAGAAAATAATCTCTAGAATTTAACTCTATACATTTAATCTTTCCAAAGTCAGTTTGCACCAGGTGAGTAAAGAATATGATATGATTGCTAGAGACAAGGAAAGACAAATTAATGTCACCACTTCTGTAAAGATAAGGAGTTTGCTGTTGACTTGGGCTGAAGCAGAGCAGATCAGGCACAAAATTCATGGGTGGGTTTTAGCTTGTTTTTTGAAATGGTGCAAACATTGTTCTCCCACCTCAGATGTCAAATTTTTACTGTCACATTAAGGCATGACGCTGTAAGGGAGTACCTGAATTTTGGCATGATTTTATGACTTCTAATCTACTGGTCATAGAAGTATGATTATGTATTGTGGTTTCATGTGCTTTACAAATATGTCAGTTAAAAAAAATTAGTTTCATTTATGCTACTTCAAAAGGTTTTTGAAAGTTGCCTTTAGATAGTTGATTATAGACATTTAAATTGTAGATTGATTTTGAACAAATTAGATGTGCTCTATATTTTACATTTTTTCCTACTTTGGTACTGTGTTTTAGCAGATAGTTAATAATAGTAGCCCATAAAGGTCTTAGAATTTGGTTTGTCATATAGAATTTGCACATAAGAATTATTTTGTATTTTTAGTTTGCACTTGCTCTAAGAAAGAAAAAGAAAAGGATGTGGATGATGAACAAAAAAGAAAAAGAACAGTACTGGAGATGGATTGCAGCTTTGAAAGAATCGAGAGAGGAAGAAGACTTTGTCTAAGATTACGGACTTTACCTTCCAATAAGGGACATTACAAATTAAGTTAAGAGTTAAATGTTAAAACAGGGTTGTCAGGTTGTGTTTTGTAATGTTTGTAAAGAACCTACCCCCTATTATCCCTTGTCGATTCCCTTACAAGGTTGTTACTCATCCCCTCTTGTTAATTATGCAATTGTGATTCCTCCCCTTTTGTCCATATCCAATCGTATCCTTTCCTTGGCAAACCCCTCCTCCTATTTGTAATATTCCAGAAAGTTCCCCAGCTTCTCCTATATAAGGGGGAAGCCATCTTAATAAAGTGTTCTTTCCTGTTTCACCTACAACCTGTTTCTGACCCTTTGAGTGACCTTCCCCATTTCCCTTAGCAGGCCTGTGTTAAGGGATATGATTATATTCATTTGCAAATTTTTTTCTTTCTGTTACTCCTGACCCTTTCCTCACAGTGCCTAGGGGACATTTAGACAGCAAAAATGACTTAAGCTGCAGTCAGTTCTGCTTAGACACGTGCTTTTGTCCTTGCATAGTCCTGTACTGGTTTTTCTGTGCTTGTTCTGAGACAGTGGAAATCAACCCCAGTTCCAATACTTTTGACAGTCCTCTGGTTGCTTGTTTATGTTGCAGAAAAGATTGCATTTATAGGACATTTGTGAGCACTTCTGACCCAGTTTAATTTTCTATAACTATCTGGTTCATGATATGTATGTTTCTAATATGTTTCTATCCAACTTTGTTCTGTAGCCTGAAATCCCCTCTTAAACTCAATAAGTCTTGAATGTGTTGCTTGTTATGAATCTGGTCTTGAGTGTTAAATTATTTTCAGGCTTTTGTAGCACTGATCAGTTTAGACTTATGATCCCAATCATATAAATGAGCTTATGCATGCAAATAATCCCTCACTAAATTCAATATTCAGGCAAATGCTTAAATGCTTTATTGAATTGTGGATTATTATTATTATTATTATTGTTATTCCTGACTTGCATACCAGTTATTTTAGAGTGTGCAGTATTCACTGAGGGCGGCAAAGATGTGTCCAATTTATGGTAGAGGTTAAATTAGGGGCAAGGTTAACCAGGGGTCTTGTTGAGGTCTGTTTTATGTTTTCAAGTCATTATTAAAAATCCAAAATCATACCCTGCAATCAGCAAAATCATGAGATGAGGATATACCTCAAAGAACATAAGAATCTCCTCTTGCTTTTTAGCTCACATTATGTATTAGTTCACATTTGTTTGGTTTCAGACACAATAGAAAAATTGTACTCTGGATGGCATTCTGTAAAACATCAGGATTGCCATGGTCTACCAAAACTCCACTCCCAAATTCAATCTATTTTCTTTAAATAAAGTTATAAATGCTTTTCTTAATTATAAATTAAATCTGCCTGGTAAAAATTTCGAAAATTTATAAAAATATTATTTTGTATATAGTTAACATTTGAAACAAACCAATTAGGAATATGCAAATGTAGAAAATCATTAAATAATTCCAACTGAAAAGAAATCTCAAGCAACATTAATGCAAAACTAATTACTTGTTTTCAAAACTATCATCTATGTAATTATTTATTTTAAGCTCATCATCATAGTATCTCCCACTGACATGTTTCTTTCTAAGAGTGGTAACATTCATTCTGTTTTCTTGCCACTGGGAAGAATTTAACCAGCGGGTTAACATTGCAATGTGGTTTACAGTGAAAAATGAGCTGGCACTAATGAGAGACTCATCATAATTCCCTCCATGTGCCGAGTCACACAGTGGTACACACCCAACTCAGCCATGGAAACTAACTTTAAACTTATGCATATCCATGAATCTTATATTCCCCTCTTGAAGATATATATGAAAGTTATTTAAATAGCAAAATCTGAAGTATGGTTTTTTGATGCAAATTGGGCTATTTCCTTGTGGCCCACAGGTAATTTCTGTCACTTAACACTGTTAGATTCAACAATTACCTGATACTGGCATGCCAAGAAAATGTTTCCCTCACCTTTTCCCAAATGCAGAAAAGATGTTCCCAACACAGCACTCATCTGAGTGCCGCATGGCTCTCATTTTCAGACCATGTTCAGAAGTGGAAGAGATATTGTACAGGTTCTTTTTTTAAAAAGCAGTATCTCTTTGAAACTGTTTAAGGATTTGGAGATAAATCTACTGAAAATGGTAAGTTCCAAGGAAGACAGGACAAAAGCTTTCTGTGTTCAGGCTGCATGACCACTAAAAAGCAGGGCTAAATATCTTCAAGAATATGTTCAGTATTTGCACACAGATGAAAAGAAAACTAAACAATTTCAGCAAGAATAACCTCTGCACTGCAAAACACAGTCTGAATTTAGATCCACATGAAAAACAGCAGTAAATTACTGATGTTCCATTACAGCTAAAGGAATCATGACTTTTTAAGTAGCAATATGAGTACACGTCCTTATTTATTTTATTTTGCACTCTGTGTTTTATCTTGCATTTATTTTTACCTTGCATATGGCAAATAACCAAAATTAAAGAAAGGGTTTTAAAATGTGCATATAAAATCTACTTGTATATCACAAAAAAGACATTTTAATTAGCTCCTATAACCTGTTTTTTGATTTGGTCCTATTCCTTTGTGAAACTTATTCACAACAGCTGTGCTGGCTGAGTTATTATCTAAGGACAGGAAGTGCTACTGCACAGGTACTTTCACACTTTTAAGATAAGTTAGATAGCTGAGGTAGATAGAAAAACATAAAAATCAGAAAAGTGTGTAAAGCAAACAAAATTTGTCATGTACTGCTCATGAACTGTAATAACTAGAGCTGTATATATCTGTATTTCACTGTCATCATGATATGGTCTGAAGCTGGCTCCCTGCCAAGTCTCCAAACCTTACCACCAGAAGTTCCGCCCCCCCCTCCCCCCCAAACCTCAGGGAGAAGAGGGGAGAAAAACAACCAACTAAGAAAACCCGAAACGAGAGAGACAGCTAGAGCCATATATATAAATATATTTACACTTATGTTACAATATAAATATATACAATTTAAAATATATACAATTTCACAAGGGAAGGGGAAGGGGGAAGGGAAAGGGAACAAAACCAAAATAAAATATATATATATATATATATATATATATATCCCAATCAGTAGCCCGAGATCTAGTAACTAAAGAGTTAGCAAAGAAAATATCCCACCACTCTCCTTGGGACAACCGAGAGTCGCTCCTTGATGATTGCCGGCAACCTCCGCCTCCCAGGATCGACAGGGCCTTACCAGGCCTCGCTCCCCAACACGGCAGACTCAACAGCAGGGAACCTGCACCTCCAAGCCGCCGGAAGGAAAGCGAGTGAAGGCCTCTCCTCCTTTCTTTTTATAATCTGGCTTACGTAAAAATCGTAGGGAATACTGGGTAAATCTGAGCCCTTCCTTGGTTACAAACTGGTCACCAAGGAAGGTCTAGCCCAAACCACCACACATCAGATCAAACAAGTTCCTTTACATACATTTTTACTGCAGTGTGCTAACCATCAAAACATGTTTACAGTAAATAGAGCTTGTGAGCTGATGATTTAGAAGAAAGGAGCCTTTACAATATGAAAAG